GCTTAAAAAATAGTGTAGATCAAGATATCTACGAAACTTAAAAATACTTGAAAATTTACGGTCCAAAAAGGCGTAACAAAATACATTGTTTTCAAAACTTACAATTATTTTTTTCTCATGTCCGTACATCTTGAGGTCAAGATGATCATTTGAAGATATTGGGGCATCAAAACAACCTCTTCTAGTAAAATTTTTGAGGTAGGCTCAAATGTGATTGTTTAGAGCCTCGGCTCTATATGAACTTTTCCCTTTAAAAAATGCCCCCAAACTATAGAGGTTCAACTAGAATCACTCAATTTAGTATTTGATTAATTGTAGCTACTACAATTATTGGCTTGTTTGTAAACCTGGTTGAGATCCAGCACATTTGCAAAATAGCTGATAAAATTCCTAATAGAGGTAGAAATGGAGAAGCCACCTCAAGATTGTCACCGAGTGGGTTTTTATGTTGATTAGTAGTAGAAAGGCCCTACATTATTAAAAACATTGGTAAAAATATCCTTGTGATTGTCATATATTGCACTCTTATTGCCAAAGTAGTCTTATGTATTATGTTTTTATTGAAGATTTTTCTATGTATATAGTGGACAAGTAGCTGCAATTTCCATATCTTAGAAAGTCCATGGGGCTGCAAAATAAAATTAGAAGAGATTGAAGTCCATATGTAAACTACAGTATAAGGGTTGTACGTCTTTGAAATAATGCGAGAATATACGATGAAACAACTCGATGTAATTTGCTTTAAAACACATGCATTAGACAGAGCACTCTGTCATTCCAATTTAGTGCATATAGACTGAGCATTACTTGTTGTAGCTTGATATTCATTTTTTCCCCTGATCTTAATGCACAAAATCAATGTAAAAAAAGTATCACAAAAATCGTCCATGTTATACTTTTTATTACTTGGGTTTTATAATTGCACGAGAATTTGTTGCTTGCTCTCCCTCTAATATTTACTAATGATAGTTTTGTATTTTCTTTTCTTTGATAGCATCAGACATTGTTAAGAGGTGGTGCCTGTCAAGAGCAAGCATATGATGAAGATGGCATAGAATTGGATTCTCAACCCATTTGTAGCATAATTGATGGATGAAGAACTTCTACCCAAAAATAGGGCAGCAAGTAATTCACAAACTTTAGTTGAAAATAGGAGCAGTTTTCTTTCTTATGTCTATGTAGTCCTATGTCATTCAAAAGATATGAGACAATTGTTTTGTTTTTGGTATCAATGTCATACATGGAATTATTTTTTTTTTTTCGAAAGGAAACAACTTGGACATGAATAAAGGTTTTCTTATTTGATGGGTAAGTTGTGGTTTCAAGCTCTCTTTCTCTCTCTTAAGTTACATGCCATGTGAATGTCCATGTTTATGAATATGATGTGAAATGAGATTACCTTAAATGACTTTGTGGAAAAAATAACTAATTTTGTTGTAAATTCTATCTCTCTCACACACACATAAATACAATAATAGAGAACTATATACTCTCTCTCTCAGACACACACTCACACACATAGACACAAACATAATCACATAGATCTATATAATATGAGTTTGGAACAAGTTGTTTCGTTTTTACATGAATTGGGAACAAGCATTTGGAGGGTTTTTGCACATTTGACTATCACAAAAAATGGTATGTAAATGGAGCCCATAAGGGGTGAATGATGAATGAATTTCATGATGAAGTTGTTGATATGACAAAACAGCATCATAGATAGTCCTCAACATAGCTCGTTGATGTTACATTTGATGTACAACATCAATATTGCATCCACATTCAACCTTACAATAACTTCTCACATCCAAATTCAATCTTATAATAACTTCTTAACAAAATTGATAGGACAATAATCATTATGTACCATTCTAAAATTATATATACAAAGTTGTCACATGTAAATGCCCAAAAAACCCGTATGTAAAGCAGCATTTCGCGCCCCAATTGTACTCCACAATTGCATCTCCTTGATGATCGATCTCTTTCTCTTTTAATTTCAGACAAGTATTTGTTTGTTAAATGGCCCTCCCTATGGCAAACATAATATCTTCTAGTAGTTTCATTCCCATCACCTTCTTTTCCAATAGTTCGTTGAGGACGCACCCAAAATCCCATGACTTGGCAAAACACTTGTAAAAATTCATAAGCATCATCATGAATTGAAAATATTTCCCCATGGTATGGATCTAGAAACTGTTTGGATTTTCTGTAACTGATGCTACGCTCTCTACAACCGTGGTTTCATTTGGAGGAGTTTCCATGTGGCATTTCACTTACGTACCTGTGGAAAGTGTCTAAATTTTATGATTAAAAAAAAAACAGATTCATTGCTTATGGTATCATAACAGGCCCTACATATCAAGAAAACAAAATTTATATGAACCTAAAATAATTAATTATAACATAACCTACATATCCATAGAATTTTTAAAATAAAAGCATAATACATAAGACTACTTTGGCAATAGGGATGCAATATATAACAATCACCAGGATATTTTTCCCAATTTGTTTGTTAATGTAGGGCTTTTCCACCGCTAATCAACAGTAAATCCCACTCAGTGACAATCTTGATGTGGCTTCTCCATGTTCCCTTCTATTAGGAATTTTATCAGATAGTTTGCATATGTGTTGGATCTCAACATGGTTTACAAACAAGTCAATAATTGTAGTAGCTACAATGAATCAAATACTAAATTGAGCGATTCTAATTGAACTTATTATTTTTGGCGGGATTTTTAAATTATACATCGACTGAGATTATATCAGTCACTTGGGCTTTTAGTATTGGAGTTGCCTAAACAAAAACAAATAAAGTGAAAAATCAAAATGAGATAGAATCTCACACCAAAACATAAATCAATAGATAGATAAACAATGTAAATTATAGAAAAAATCACACTTAACAAAAAAGAAAAAAAAAAAAGGTACATCAAGTGGGCCTGTAAATTCATATTTGAGATGAACAATAGGCTCTCGAGAGAGGGAAGAGAGAGAATGAGAGAGAGGGATTATTAGCATGCTAATTCTTCACCAAAAGTGAATATATATCTTAAGTATTAATCCATACCTTATTCAAAATCAGTATCTTGAGAGTAGCTTTGAACTTAAATCTAATATTGGGTTCTCAAAGAGGCAATCCTCCATTCAATCTTCAAACAAAAAATTGGTTTTTCCCCAATAGAGGTCTTGAGAGAGAGGGACGGCAAGGCGTGAGAGAATGGTAAGGCGAAAGAGAATAGTGTACTCTCCTGTGTTTTTTAGGCAATAGAGATAGTATGGGGGAGGGCAAGGCATAACGGTTAGAGAGGCAGAGACGATGGGGAAGGGAAAGAGGGAGGAAGGGAGAGACAGAGAGAGAGGAGAGAGACGATTCAAAATTCCGTCGTTGTGGTATTTGTTTTTTAAATTTTGAACTAAAAGTGATAAATGCCCCTTTTATACAGGCTTTGCGTTCTTTTAATATGAGGGTAATGGGGGTAAAAAAGAGATTCACGAGAGATTCTAATTTGATCTTATGTTTTTTAGGGGGGTTGTTAACCCTAGAAAATTCACACATATATATATATATATATAGACCTTATTTTCTGGTTCATTGTGTTAAAAAAAACACTAAAAAAATCGCAACTTTTTTCACAAATGCCAAATTCGCTGCAATTGAAATTGACTCGTGTTTATTTCTCTGGAACTTTTATTAATCTAGGGCACAAACCAATACAAAATTAATAATCCCTTTTAAAATATTTTTCTTGATATTCTAGTACTTGTGAGGGCATTATTGACCAATAAGACATTTACACGCACTAACCTTCTATCTGCAGTGAGGTCGGAGCAGCTACCTATAACTTTACTGGAGTACTAAAGAAGATAAAAGAAGCTTTTTGAGAAGGTGGAATCTCTTGTTGGAGAAAGAGGAAATATCGGAGAACTACAACCTTAAGCCTCAAAACACCCTATCTCCCTTTTTCTCTCTCAACCCCACATTCTCTCTCTAGATTCTCTAATATCAAGAATCAATTCGAGCTCTTTCCATCAGGTTAATATAGAAGGTGTGTATTGTATTATGTATATTTAGAAATGATAGATACAATGTCTTGTATTTAGTGTAAGTCTTGGTATGGTATAGAAATTGGTAATTTAATTCTATATTTTCTCATCTATAATTTGTCTATAAAAGACAAATGTGTATATTTATATGATTGATAGATATGGAGTCTCTTTAGAAAAACATGAGATTCTTCATATGGCATCAGAGCCACAGGTTTCTGAGAACCTTCTATTGGATCGAATCAACAACCAGAGGATTGTTTTGTATCTCTGATACAACCCTCTGATCTGAGACCTACCATCGGGTTGTTCCAATAGAGCCGATCAACGATCCGAGTGTGTTGCTTCCGTTCCAAAGCTTCCGCTTCCAACTTCAAATTTGCTTCATCGAGCTCAATGATTAAATGGTCGACCTTCCAATCAGGCCTTGGATCTGCCGACAGCCCATGAGAGCCTTGTGGCACTCTCAATCTTAATTCAAGAAAATTCTGTAACTTTAGCTTTTTCTAGGCGCTCCTCTTCGCAGTGTTTTTTTTTTCCTCTTGGACTCCTCAATCGCTGCCAACTCCCTAATTTTCCTCTCCTCTATTTGTGATCACTGCTCATGATCCCTTTGAATAACAGATAAGTAAAGGTCACAAGCTTATGCAATTTTGCCTAGATAATGTTAGTCAGGTTTCTTCAAAAATTGCTTTTAAATATGACAAGAAACAAAAAAAGAGTGCTAGATATTATCTCAATCGGGCTTATTACACCCACACCGAGACACCACCATCAGATAGCCCGGGATCAACAATCAACCTACAATCTCAACGGAGAAAGCAAATTTAGGCCAAGCCCTCTAGTGGAACTATGAACTCCTTTATCACAAATATCAAACCCTTAGGTGAATCTCCTTAGCAACCTAGTTTGAAAAATACTTCTCTTTTCTACCACAACTCTATAGTTTAAAACCCCAATGAGAGATGAGAGATCATGAGAGGGTTGAGAGAAGCACCATGAGAAAGATATCAAATATGAGAGAGTAGGATGTGCCACTTTGGGTCGTTCAGAGAAACTGTTTTTAAGAGAGAGAGAGAGAGAGAGAGAGAGATATTCTAAGTCGGGTGTGCCCCCTTTGTGGGATATGAGAGAGAGATGGGAATTAAGTGTAAGAGATAAGGTGTAGAGATTTTGGATAGAGACAATATATTTTTATAGGATTGGAACAAGATTAGGGCTTCTTAGGGTTTTCCTTGGCTTGGCTTCTCTTGTGAGATTGAATATGAACCATTGATCTTGGGTGGCTTGTAATGTGAGAGATTTGAGTCATCCATTCCATAGATAGGCCATCAACATTATGGAAAAGTGTTAGAACCTTTATCCCCAATTCCTAAACCATTTTTCCATCAATAAAATTAAATAAAATAATTCCATTCTTAATATAGTGCTTACCAAAAATATGTAAAAAATCTTCTCATGCTTTTCAAAAATCTTTTGAAAGCTTCCTCAATCTTTCCAAAACACTTCAAAGCTTTCTCTTCAAGCCAGAGCTTGAACTAACTCAAGGAATGTTTCATTGGGGTAGGGTGTGCCACCCTAGATGATACTTCATCGGCTTCACCCACATGCAATGGTGGGCCCATTAACGTATTGGGCCTCCCATACAATATTAAAATTATGCAAATTAATTATATGATTTTCAAAAATCCATAAAATCAAATTTGGATATTTAAATCAATATCTCTATTTTTATAAATCTAAATTTGACAAATAAAATATCTAGAGATCTAAAAACTTCCAGTAATAATTCTAAAAATCATATTTCATTAAAACAAACATAATTAAATTCATCAGATCCAAAAATGAGCCATATGGTTTAGGAATTAAATAAATAAACGCTTGGACACTCCACCATCAACAGTGGATTACGGTCCTCACTTGCTTTATCAAACCGACCCAGTGCTTCTCATGACCCACAATTCATGCAGGGGCTCATTAGTGGGTCACCAAAGTCTAGCCAATGAGCCAAGGGGTCGTAATCTCAGTTTGTGGATTTCAGTTTCTCTCTCAGAGACGTACCAAAGTTACTTCGACCTAATGCGACCGCACTCCTAAGGCGAACAGAGGTATCTCTCACAGATGCATAAGCTTCACCCTAAAAGGTAATTCATTTTCCCAAAAGGACTATCATATATGCATATCGTGTGATGGCTTAAGGATGAAGGTTTGGCCTCCGTCTCTGAAAGCCACCATCACACACAAGGGTTATGCAGTCTCTAAGCTCGCTTATTAGGGCGTGCTCTGACCTCATCAAGGGATTACCTATTAGAACCCTTATCGAAAAGTTTTCTATGTTTAGGTAACATAGATTTTTCCCAACCGACTGGCCTAACTCATCAACCTTAGTCCAGTATCAGCAAACATCATTTGCTTAGTATCATCCATGAGGGACCAC